TCTCTGTGTGTGTGTGTGTGTGTGTGTGTGTGTGTGTGTGTGTGTGTGTTGGCGTCCTCCCTTTGCCGTTGCTTCTACCTGTCGCACGCTGTCTTTCAGCGTGTTTCTCTGTCTGTTTCCCTGTGCCCGTCCGTCTGTCTGCCGGCTTGTAAGTTGTAGCCGCTTTGCTTCGAGATATCTGTCTTCTTGCAGGTCTGTTCTGACTCCCTCTCTCCTGCGATATCGGCACTTCTCTGTCCTATCTCTGCTTCTCTCTATTTGTTTGTTCGTTTGTCGATCTGCGGTCTTTTGTCGTTCTGTCGTCTGGTCTTCTTTCCTGTCTGGCCAGTTCCTCCCTTATCTCTTTGTTTATCTTTTCTTTCTTTCCTCATCTGTTTGTTTATCTTTTTTTCCCCTTTTTCCCCTATATTTCTGTTTATCTTTCTACGGATTTGTATAAGGTAGTGTAGTTCAGAATCTGCTGATTCATATATACGATATATATATATATATTTGACTTTCCAAGATGGAGCGAGGACGTGACATACCTCCGACCTCATCGACTGAAACTGAAAATTCCTCACTACCAACTCCAGAGAGGAGAAGACTTGCCCTCCCTCTCCCTCTCCCTCTCCCTCCCCCTCTCCTTCTCCCTCTCCGTCTTGTCCGGTGGCTTGCTGCCTCCTTATTCTTCGTCATAAAAGAAGTCGCCTTCGCTTTCACGGCCATCTATGCTGGTGTACTGGGCGGTGCTGAGCTTCTGCGGAACGCGTATCACCGTATCGCTGGTAAATCTGTGATTCAGTCGCTTGGCTCCCGAGCACTTTCCAAACTAGGAAAGGATCAGTTGTCTAACAACGCGAGTCCACGTGGCACTGCATCGGATTCGCACGAACGGGCAGAACCAAGTGCAGAGGATCTGGACCGATCATCTGAGCTGCCTGAGCAAGCGTGCAGATCGACGGACCCCTATGCAGAGGAGGAGGAGGAGGAGGAGGAGGAGGGAGGGTTACCCCCTCCTAACCCCGATGAAAGACAGTCGAGAGGTAGCCTGGCTGGCAAGCTGTGTATTGTTACGGGCGGAGGAACGGGGGTAGGATACATGACGTGTAAGGAGCTTGTACGGCGTGGTGCACACGTCATCATCGCGACCAGGTCAGCCGCTGATGTGGATGTCGAGATCCGAGAGGAGGCGCTAACATTTGGTAGCAGAGGGGCAAAGAACCCAGAGCGAGACGTACAAAGGGGAGGAGGAGGAGGAGGAGGAGGAGGAGGAGGGAGTGTGGAGTTTATGCGTTTGGATTTGTCGTCTTTCCGAAGCGTTATTGATTTCTCCGAAAAGATTCGATCCCGTGGTGTTCCCGTTGACGTCTTGGTTAATAACGCCGGTATTATGACCCCTCCCAAGCGCGTAACAGCTGAAGATGGGTTCGAAAGCCAGTTTCAAGTCAACTACCTCGGGCATTTTTTGCTGACGCAGCAGATGCTGACTGATTTTTTCAGTCGTCAACGGCAAAACCAGCCAACTCGCCACTGCCTGGTGCCGAGCTCTCGCCTTTCATTTCATTCAACAGCTCAAACTAGAAGCACTACTACTAGTAGTACGGCTACTTCAGATGGTCATACAACTACTGTAAATGGTCAGACGACAACGACAAATGGTCGTACGACCACTGCATCTTCCACTCCTATGACGGCCTTGCCGGACTCTCGTGACGTTAACGAACCCTCTTCTTCTTCTTCCGTTGCTGTTGCTTCTTCTTCTTCTTCTTCTTCTTCTGCTGCTGCTGCTGCTGCTGCTGCTTCGGCTGCTTCTTCTTCTTCTTCTTCTTCCTCTTCTTCCTCTTCTTCTTCTTCTTCTTCTTCTTCTGCGGCTGCTGCTGCTGATTCTTCTTCTTCTTCGTCTTCTTCTTCTTCTGCCTCTTCTTCTTCTTCTTCTTCTTCTTCTTCTTCTTCCCGCTCCTCCTCCTCCTCCTCCTCCTCCTTTTCTCCTCTGCCTTCTCCTTCTGCCACTCCGACTACGTCTGGTATCATTGTCGACTCCGGTACTGTTTGTTCTATGAGCGATGTTTCATCTTTGTCCTCAGGTTCTTGTGGCTTGGCTTCTTCTTCAGTCCTTGATCCTCATTCCTCCTCAGCTGCTTTCGTCTCCACTTGCCCTCCTCCTCCTTGTTGTGGGGCGGCTTCAACTGCTACCTGTAATGGTCAAAGAGGGCCCTCTTCCTCCTCCTCCTCCTCCTCCTCTTCCTCCTCCCCCTCCTCCTCCTCCTTCGCTCTGACATCTCCGGCTATGGAACCTACGGATACAACCAGTACTAATTATGCAGCACACTCCTCCTCCTCCTCCTCCTCCCCTTTCGCTGTGTCTTCATCGTGTACGGAAGCTGCTGTTACAACGACGCCAAATGATCAAGCACACTTCTCTTCCTCCTCGTCTTCCTCCTGCTCCTCCTCCTCCTCCTCTTTTGCTCCATCTTCGCCGAGTGGGGAAGCTGCAGTCACTACCACTCTTCGTACCACTGATGAAGCATATTCCTCCTCCTCCTCCTCCTCCTCCTCCTCCTCCTCCTCCTCCTCGACCACCACCTGCTCGCTCTCCCGTCTTCCTTTCTTTTGCACAGCAGCCACAACGAGCAGTGGTAGTGAGGATGAGGGACGAAGTATCAGATTTCGGGTCATCAATCTGACGTCATCCACTCATCATGCCGGTAATATCCATTTCTCAGATCTGAACTTTCAGCAGAAGTATCACGCCTTTCATGCGTACGCGCAGTCGAAGCTGGCCATCGATCTGTGGACCAAGGAGCTGCACCGCAGGTATCGGGATCGAGGTGTCACTGCAGTGAGTGTGCATCCCGGCGTCGTCGACACCGCCCTCGCTCGGGGGTACTTCGAAAACTTGGCACCTTGGCCCTTATCGGGTTGGCTGAGACCACTCTATCCCATATTTCTGAAGACGACAACAGAAGCGCAGGAGACCGTGATGTATGCAATCACGGCTCCTCCCGAGGAGATTGGAGGTGCTTACGTGGCAGATGCACGTGTAAGCAAGTGCGGACGGATCTGCCACGACGCCAAGCTGGCGACAAAGCTATGGGATGTCACCTTGTCTCTTCTGCCTACCTCAACGGCCAAGAGATGAGCTTTTCTTCTTTCTTTTTTTTTTTTTTTTTCTTCTTCTTTCGAATTGAATATCAGGCACCAGATAATTCACCCAGGGGCCCCAAGTCCCACTAGCAGCGCTGAGTTTCCACAACGCCCGAATCTGGACGTGCTTGTGGCCATGCATGCAGAAAATCACGTTGATTTTCCCCAACAGCACATCTTGACAAGCTCGTCCAGATTCGGGCGTTGAGGAAACTCACCCCCAAACATAACGCACATGCGTTGTCAAGGAATAGAACACGAGGAGGAGTCCCTCACATCTTTCAAGTTCTCTGTTATACTCCAAATTCATTCTGTATATGGGACGCTGGACCCGTTTTCCAGCAGGTGATGCTCCCACCAATAGATGGAGCCTCTCCCCAGGTGCTACCGTAGTGGTGGGGCCCTGGTGGCTGCTCTTACCAGCACCACTAACACTGGAGTCGGCGTTTAAAAAAAAAAAANCTGTTCTTGATTTCAGGTTATTATTGTAAAAAGGGACGCTGGACCCGCTTTCCAGCAGGTGCTGCTCCCCACCAATAGATGGAGACTCCCCGGGGATGCTGTCTCTTATACACATCTAGATGTGTATAAGAGACAGGTCCTAGATATTCTTGCCTTTTATAAATTCTGTTTGATATGGGTGGATGATATCTTCCATTATCGGAATCATGCGGTTTGCCAAGGCTTTCGCCACCATTTTGTAAACCCTGTCTCTTATACACATCTAGATGTGTATAAGAGACAGGCACTTGAGGGGTGGGGCGCCCGTGGACGTGTTTAGCAGCACTCCTAACAGTGGAATCGGCGTTTAAAAAAAAAAAAAAAAAAAAAAAAAAAGGTTGCGTTCTATTTGTGTAGTTTGCATACGCCTTATATTCGAGTGCACTTGAACAACTTTTTTTTCCCTTCCTTGAACAAGGAAGGGGGATATAGGATGAGTAGGATGCTGCTTTTTTCTTTGAGGGAAGTACGTTCATGTCACATGGGATTTTGTAATGGGCAGAAAAAAACAGGCGTCCGCAACTTTGTCATGGCCTGAGTTCGAAAAGGCGGTTGTAACTCAGGCTGGCAGTGGTGTCAGCCTGTCAGGGTGGCGGTTGTGCGGTTGTGTTTTTTTTTGGCGTCAGTGTTTTTTTTTTTTTTTTTTTTTTTTTTTTTGGGCGACTGTGGCCCATCACAGCCATGGCCAGCCGTGGGCGTGACCTAGACATAGCTGCCATGGCCCAGCCACGGGGCGTGGCCTAGACATCGCGGCCGTGGCCCAGCCACAGGTGTGGCCTAGACATGGTGGCCGTGGCCTAGACATAGCCGCCGTCGCGCAAAACAAGAAGAAGAAGGGAAAAAAAAAAAAAAAAACTTAACCGCCTTAATGAAACTGCCACCCTGACACCACTGCCGGCCTGAGTTACAACCGCCTTTTCAAACTCAGGCCATGACAAACTGCCTTTGCAAACTCAAAACATGCCAGCCCCGCTGTTATTTCTTTTTTTTTTCTTCTTGTGGCCAAGTATGTTGATGTCCCCTGCGCAAGGATGCTCTCCATGGTTGACATGCAGTGGTGCGGTGCTGACTAAGAGGGGCTAGTACCGGGCTACAGCTTGGGGTAATGCAGAGATAATCAGGCGGCTGTGGTACTCCCGCTGGAACAGTCCTTGTCACAGCCGGGTACAGGATTGGCATTTGCAAAACTTCAGGGGGCTGTGACCAGCCGCAACAAGGCCATATAGGGGTCAACAGGAGGTAAAGACTGCTCAGTAAATCCCCTGGGACAAACCAGGGCGATCAATGCTGGCAGTCTCTTTGACATGTCGTACATTTTCTC